GACTGGAGTCTTACTCTGAGTCACTCTATGACTCCCAGCCCTCCCCATGCCTCAGTTTCTCTATTTGTTGTACTCATGTGATCTTGTCCCTCAGGCAACAGCCCACGCACGCCCCTCCCGCTCCTGGGATTCCTTCACCCAGCACTTGAAGGACGTGGCTCTGAAGGGTGAGTATCCCCTGAACTAGGGTGCGGGAGAGGTGGATTACTGCTGGCCTAGCATTGGGGCTGGGGGCAGTACAGCTCTGTGCCACCAGGGGGTGAGAGAGAGAAATGGATTAGAGAAGGGGAGTGGGGGCGAGGAGTCCAGGCTACTGGGTTCTGTCCCTAAAGCTGGGAGGAGAGTGGGATCTAGTGGGTTAGAGCAGGGGGGTTGGGAGCTAGGACTCCTGGGTTCTATCCCCAACTCTGGGAGGGCCTGAGCTGGGCCCTCACTCTCCCTCTGCCCCTCCAGGGAAGGAAACGAATCTGGACGGCTCCTTCTCCCTGCAGGAGCTCCTGGGCTCGATGGACCTAGCCCGCTATTACCGCTACCCTGGCTCCCTCACCACCCCCAACTGTGACGAAGTCGTGGTCTGGACTGTCTTCCCCGACCCCATCCTGGTGCCTCTTGATGTGGTGAGTGTGGGGGTGGGGGAAAGGGAGGGAGTCAGGACTCCTGGGTTCTATCTCCAGCTTTGGGAGGGGAGTGGGGCCGTGTCTAGTAGGTTACAGAAGGGGGGCTGGGAGTCAGGACTCCTGGGTCCTTTTTCCAGCTCACCTCCCCTCTGCTGTTCAAACCCCCACTCTCTCTGCTTCAAAGTTAACCCCATCAGAACCTTCTCAGTTCTCTCCATTGATGGGGTGTCCTCCTCTCCACTCAGTAGAGCACCCCAAGTTTGCCTCCCCCCTCAATTTGCCCCTCCCCCACTAATCTGTCTCCCGCCCCGCAGGTGGATGCGTTCCCCTCCATCCTCAACTCCACAAACTCAGATGCTGGGCCCCGGTTGCAGAACAACTACCGGCCTTTGCAGAGCCTTGGGGATCGCCAAGTGCAGGCCTCGGCAGCCCTCCGAGT